AATATATATATATATATATATGTACTGGCAGGCTGGATATCCACGTTAAAAGACAAGGAGAGTTATCAATGCACTACAAATAGAAATACGGTAGAATCGGCTGACAGCGTAGAATGACGATATGACCCTTATGGTAAACAGCATTGACTTGGTGGTATTCCAGGTGCATTTCCTGACAGTGGGGGGAACTCATTCGAACATCGATTCGTTGCGGAGGAGGGAAAAACGGAATTCGAGCCTCTTGAAACAGGTTAGCAGTCAAACCGCATCACAAAATCAAGTAACAACTAGCTGAAGGTTTGCTGGAAAGGACACAAACAAAAAGGGACCAAGCACGGCAGCCTGTCAACTTGGAAATTGGGCCTAGAAGCAAGCTAAACTGTGCAGGGCATAACCTGGGATGTCACATCCAAGAGCAGGGTTCCGGTGCCTGTTTTTTCGGACCTGCAACCATTAGGCCAAGTGGCGGTGCCACACTTCTAACACTGGAAGACTTCGTTATCGCCATCGGTAAGCGAGGTTCTGGCTGGCTAAACGCAAGTGCATTGAGACTTTCTTTTGTCCCACGATCAGACCTTGGGGTCGGCAAAAAATGACAGTAACAATTGTTTCATGCGTAGGTGCTTGCAAACAGACTCCAGGCAGTCGATGCCAAATATATGACTAATAATTCTATACGATGCTAAGGAGTGCACTAGGAAGGTACTTCAGCACGCTTGCATGTGGGGTCCTGGAAACACGAGTTGCAGCAAAATGCCTTGCAGCTGAAGGCTGGCCGCCTCGTACTGAAGGCTGAAGGGAAGGTCAGTTTCTCACTAGTGACTAGTGAACTTCTATCAAGTGCAGCACTTTCGAGGGGTATGCTTCCTCCGAAATGGAAGAAGGATGCACACCTCCTTTCATTTATGAACTCCAAGCCCCTCTGGTGCTGGGGTCAGTGCACCTGTAAAGAGGGGAAATGAATATATAATTTTGGTGGTCGATTATTCCAAGTGTTCCTCTATTGCATCTGCTGCTCATGACTGTCCTGCTCTACTGTCGAGTGCAGCTTAGTTTGTCCATTGATGCTGGTTGCACCTTCATATTACATGCACGTTGGCTACGGTGCACAAGTAAGTGTATAAGAATTGTCAAAGATGCTAGTGCATGCAAGAGACTGGCGCACGCTTAGGCTTATGTGTGAGGTTATTTTCTAGCAAAAGCTGAAGCAAAGTGTGCTGCAACGCTTTACAGGCCGCCACACATCCGCGCACCGGTCCGTAAGCTATTATGCTTATGGCGTACTGCGGCACGCCACGACACTGAACGCAATGTCATCTGATTCTGTGGTACACTTATCTCAAATACGTTTACTCTCCCCAATCGCAAAACCGCCCACTGTCAATGTCGAGGGCTCTCATTACTTACGTTTCCGGGTCTCCACTTATTTCCAAGGAGGTGTAAGTATTCTAAGGCTGGGCCTCAGAAATGAGACCGTAAGAATTGATATTCCTAATTCACCTGGAGCGGGGTTTGACGTGGAGTCGCTCTCTACCCGCGGTATGGTATGCTTGCACAAGTATTCATTTGTACCGGTAACCAGGCTTAGGTGCAGACCAAGGCAAACTTGTGCAACATTTCGAACGCGTTTCCCCAAAATTGTATCCAGAAATAATTTCGGACAAAATGAGAAATACTGTGCAGATAATCCCTGTGAGAGGTAGGTATTTGATGGGAAGAACCGCATGCAGCCTACTGAGCAACTAAAGTAGCTGCAGCTGCAGCTACTTGTATGAAGGTTGTAGCGACCGGGTGCACGGTGCTGCAGCCTTCTGCTGTTTTCTAGTGTATTCACTCTGCATGAAACTTCATGGAAAAGTCTTTCGGGAACATTCACTTACCCCGAGCTAAAGTAGACTTGACAATCTTTTCTTTAGTGATGAAGTCGATTCCGGCAGCTGCAGCTGTTGCTGTGGCGCTGGCATGCTGGTGGTGCAGCTGGTGAACTTGGCAGCTGCTTGGTAACCTTCTTATTTTCTTAAGTGTTTTTATGCCTGGATGTGTGTCTCAGCCGGTTCGGTCCCCCACCGCGCCACTCCACAGACCGTGAACAACACTGGTAGGAACGGCGACCGCAAGATAATCCGCAGGCCACTCAGGGCAGTGCCCAACTAGGCGATCCTTGTCCCTGACATTACCATTCTAGTTACGTTCGTTGTCTCTGATTCTGTATCGAGCCCAGCTCTAAGGCAGACGCAGCACCACGGCCGTCTCAAACGACGGCAACTGCGGCAGCAACATCAATAGCTTTCTAGGAAAACCGTCGCTGTGCCCATATACCTCAGCTGCATCAGCTGGAACGAGAGGTTCTGACAAGTTTGGGGCTAAGCGGGGCAAGCCACGGGTTCTGTTGGTAAGCTTCTCCCAGGAACCCACCACCGGCGCCGTAGCTATATCCGTACTCTGCAGCACTTGGGGGTGCTCCTGCTGAAAGATGCCATGCAGCAGCACAGACGAAGGAGCGTGGGGTGGCTGTTTCGCGAGCAGCTCACTTGCGACGGATCCGGGGGCTTGTACGGCAGTGGGTTCAAGGCACACCAGCAGTAGCCGCAGACCACAGCAAGGGCAGGGGTGGGAGACTGGTAGGCCAGAATCCTCTACTTGCAGGGTTACCTACAATACTTCATCAGGCGCAATTGTAGGCAACGACTGCAGCGATTCTGCCACATGCGCGTCTTTGACTATGGACGGTTCCCATGTCCTTGCTTTGGCTGTGGGTGGTGCATCTCGCCCAGCCAGTCCCTCTGCCGCTTCTGCCCCAACACTCCCTCGGTTGAATCCGAAGCAGATTGCAGCAGCAACTGCTGCTCGCGCTGCGGCGCAGGATAAGGATCGAGAACGCAACGGGAGTGACGGTGACAGCGACCTTGACTTCTTTACGCCCCTGTCGTCTCCGCTGAGAGAACTGTCCACTCCCTCGATGCCAGCTTCTGCCATTGTGCAGAGTACTGCTGCCGCTCAAATACAGCAGCAGCAACGTAGACAACAGCAACTCCAACAGCCCAAACAACAGTTGCTGGAGCAAGGAGACTTTTTGGAAATGGCTGTCATCAGTGGCCATGGTGCTCCGGTTGTCTTAAGTAATAGTATCCACCGTAGGCAGCAACACAGCACAAGCAGCCTACCCACCGCAAAGGAGTGCGGCTTGCTGCTGGGGCGATTCCCTCTGAGGAGGCGGTACATGTCTGTCGATTGTGGAGGCTCTCCTCTGCAGCAGGATCTGCAGCACGAGCAGCAGTTGCAATCGCCTACACCTGCTGTAACTGTGCTTGCTTCTGCTGGGATGCAAATTCCAGCAAAATCCGCTATCAGTGCAGCCATCGCAAAGGATAGAATGCAACTGACCCACCGGATTCAGAGGGCCCCCGTGCACAGCAGACGCTGCCAGGGTAGACCTCTCCTCAACCAGCAGCAAAGGCACCACTTTCAGTGGGTACAGCAACCCCGACAGCCGTTCCTGCAGCAGCAAGAAGGGCAGCAGCTGGGACAAAAGCACCGTGGAGTGCAGCGGGACGCTTCAGATGACGACATAAGGATGCCGCTTGTACCGCCTCCTGCATCGTCTTCTCCTCTCTTAACGAGTGCCCGTGTCGCACCCCCTACAGTGAGTTCGGCTTCATTACAGTCGGATAGGGGAGATGCTCCAAGCGCAGAAGCGGCTAATCTGCCTTGTGCTGCCGATGCAAGGGAAGAAAGAACACTTCTTGGGCACTTTCCCTCTCCAATCTTAGCTGCAGTAGCTGAGGGAGGAAGGCGGCAGGCACACTCACATTCGAGCCCCTTGTCAACAGTCCGCCTTCTGCAGCAGCCACCTGAGGAGCATGCAACAGAACAAGTCCCTTACCAAGCGCAAAACCAACAGCAGCAACAGCAGCAAGAGGACAGCGAAGGATTGCTGCAATGCAGTAAACGCCGTCGCTTTTCGATTGAACGAAGCGAAGCAACGTGCCTCTTGCCTACTGGGCAGGTTGTTGCTGCACTTCCTGCCAATACTTGTATTCATGCCACCAGCGACAACGACGAAGACGCGTTGCAGCGACAGCAAAGCCACGATCACATGGACTGTGTTTCACGAATGGAAGAGCTAGATTTCAGCAGCCACAGGAAGAGAAAAAGAGGGGGAGAATGCAGCACCAGACTGCTTCTGATGCTACAACCGAATGCAGCAGCAGCAGACGCTGCCCTGCTTGACGTGTTGGGCACGGCACTTACAGCAGAGGAGACGCGCGAGTTGCGCAGGAAGCAGCAGAAGGAGGCAGAAGCGGCAGCAGCTGCTGCGGCGGCAGAAGCAGAAGCACGGGAAATAACAGCTGCAGCTGCTGCAGAACAGGCAGCAGCCGCTCGAGCACGGGCAGCAGCAGAAGCTGAGGAGGCGGCAGCACGTGCCAAGGCCGATGCAGAAGTCGCACAGGCTGCAGCGGCTGCCGCAGCTGCTACTTCATCTAGGGTAACAACAGAGGGACCCAAGAATACGCTGCTGCAGGCCGAACGTGCACCTGCACTTGCAGCTCATAATGCCCTGGGCGTTAGTACTCCACTTTTTGGAACAACGATGCCTCATGCGCCCCAGCAACAGCCGCAGAACTTGCTGCAGCAGAAGCAACAGCCACCGCGTCCACAGGAGCAGCAGATACAACAACTGACGCAGCAACCACAATTACATCAAGAGCAACAACACGGACAACAACCGCATGACGTAGCAGGCAATAATCCCGGTCTTGGGGACCCGGGTGCCGTACCCGGGCGCCCTAAGCTGCGCATTAGGCGAGGGAATGGGGCCTCTGGAGTCCCATCGTCATCGACGGCTGCAGGTCCCGGTGTTTCAGCAGCTCCGCAACAGACAGTAGGTTCCCAACAACAGCAGCAGCAGCAGCCTTTTAGCATCCTCAATTCCTCATTGGGGCAACAGGTGTCTCTGCAACAGCAAATGGACGTGCACGGGTCAGTTTTCCAGCCTTCGCCGGTCCAGCAGCATCAGTATTCTCAGCAACCGCAATTGCAGCAGCCCGTGCAGCAACAACAGCCAGCAGCTGACGACTTGGGTCTTCGATTAGCAGGATTCGGCCCCACGAAGGTCCCCGATGTCACGGATGCAGGTACGGCCCGTTGCAAGGCAGTATGCGGGAATTCAGTTGATTTCCTCACATCCGCTTGCCTCCACTCATTTCAAGCTACTTGAACTGTGACGTGTGAGCATATATGAATTCTCTTCTGCGTGTGCTGCAGGCAGCAATCCCTTTGCCTTTATCGCTGGGCGAGGCCGAGGCCGAGGAGGCCGGAGGGGCGGCATGAGGCGTCGTTAAGGGGACGTACAGCAGAAATGAAGTTGTGATTGCTTCTGCACAATTTACTGCAGCGAGCAGATGATTCTAGTGATTATTTGGCGGTCTGAGGCTCTAACAGTGAGGCATGGAAGGTCTCCTGCTGGAACGACCAACGCTTCCTGTATCCGCCGGGCCCCAGCCGCGCTATTCTTGAGGTCCTGGCAAACTTGTTGCATCAATCTGCCCTTCAGGACTGTGTATAACAAGGGGTCGTATATCTCTCGGCCTGCCTGCTGTTTTAATTTGTACTGGGTTTTCCCCGTGAGTGTTGCTAGCTTGATTGGTAGCGTCGCACAGAACATATCAAGAGCACTTAGCGATCAACCTAGCGCATACGGCAAAGTGGACTCCGGCACCTGCCGAAGGTTAGTACCCTGCCCGTTAGGTTGAGATAGTTTGAGATAGTTCCGTCCTGCAACGGGAAATGCAGCGATCACCGGTAGTTGGATGATGCCTGCATGGTTCCACTCCAATAGTTTAGATGGGGAGGGCTTTCCTGTAATTAGTTTCAGCCGTTAGGAAACGGGTTGCCAAGGAACTTTGCGCCTTTTTGCGTAAACAGTTCCCCTTCCTGATTGGCGGAGACAGAAAGCATCTGTATATAGTACATCGACGCGTACAGGATGCGATGTTGCTAGCGGCCCTTTTGCTGCATTTTGCATCTCCTCTGCAGTGTATAGGTCTACACGGAACACTGTCTACCTGTGTAGGTTGATGAACAGTGGATGGGAGGCGGGGGTGCGAAGAGAGCCACTTTGCCCTTACCCCCCTTGTACAGGCAACCTCTACGGTATCAGAGGCCGTGGAGGTCTCAAGGCCGCACTGCATATATTGAGGTACTTATTAGTAGTTATGTAGTCTGATTAAACCTCGTTTCGTCCACCTTTGATGTCCACCATCCCGCAACATGAGCAACATATATGCTCGCCGACCGCATGAGGGCGCCCTTCGGCAACAGATGCCTGCCCATTCCGCCGAGTCCTGTCGGCAACTGTATACGCACTAAATGGTACTGTTCCACCATTATAGTATTGCACTGCCTCATTCTGGGCTCAAGTTCAGTAGTAGTTGCGTGTACGAAGGTTGCCTCCGCCCCCAACCCTCGGTTGCGCAGCGACGGAGAGTACTGTACAGGAAGGCTTATGATAGATGATGCCAAGCATATGGACCATAACAATGCATACTATTTTATTATTTTTCAAACGGAAAAAGGCAACGTATGTTGCAGGACGGGTGTGGGTCGCCTTACAACTTACTATCTTCGAGCCAGCTGCAACGGGGAAGTTGTTGCTGCTGTAGAGTGTCCACTAGTGCTCTACAGAAGCTGCTCTCCCCCTCTTCTTGACTTAAAATATGGGCTAGTTGCTGGTTGGTTAAACAGGCTTTTCAGCGAGTTGCTTCCTGTCGTTGAGCTCAAACACACCACTGGTCTGAGTCTCCGGGTCCACAGCACGTTGTGGGGCGTACTTGAAGAAGACACGTTGAACTATCGTCTTAGAGAGTCCTCTTCGCATTTTCTTACCCCTCTGTGAGCCGAAATTTAGAAAGCAACATGGACGACTGTAGACTATGACGATTGAGGGCGCGGCGTAGAGAAGTTCCACACGAGGGCTCATCTGCATCAGTACTCGTTAGGCTTTGATCTGGCTGTTGCATAACTTTAGGTTCTTGCTCTAGAGTAACAGATTTCTATGCCCATGTTCTTGCCTCTACTGCCCTCGAGTCTTTGGAACTCTGACTCCTGGTAGGCTGTCGCGGTTACGATTACAGGCTCCTTCTCGACTGTTTTTCTAAGACTCCACGATGTCTGGAAGAAACCAGATTGCGCGTAGCGGCAGTTTATACGAAGATGCAGAGTCGGAAACTCTTCGCAGGCTCTCGGAATTTTCCATGTAGGCTCTGTGGCTGAATACTACCGGGGGCGTCAGTACATTTTGTCAGGTTACTTCACAACGCTGATGTCGTTAAACAATGCGAGGGCTGGATTGCCCTACTCTGTATTGCTGTAGGAGCGACTGGATGAGGAAGCTGGGGGAGGCGGAGGTCTTCGAGTCGGACTTGCAGCACTTAATCCTCAACTATCTTACCATAAACGGTCTAGGAGGACCTGCAGAGGAATTCATAAGAGAAGCCCGAATAGACCGTAAGCAGGGAATGTGATAGTCGTCTGAGCAGCTCCGCGTCCGTCTTCTATACCTTGATGCAAGTATTCGAAAGTTTCGTGTACGTGGGCGTGAGGTGTTCTTCAAAGTTCAGCATCTTGCTGCAGTTGGTGTTGCGGCGGCAACGAAAACGCCCTGCGATACGCTAAATTCGACATGTTTAAGAACTTAAATGTTCTGTTGTGGAGATTGTTTGACAAGACAAACTAAGTTGGTGACGTTTCACAAGTTGAACTTAGTGCGGTGTATGCTGCGTAAGCGCACATAGTGAATCCTTCGAATCGATTGCTATTGTTAAGAAATACCTTTTGAAAACATACGACTGCCGTTGCTATGATTGAGTGTCGTGGTCATCAATGACAGAAGTGTAAGAGCAGCAGTGGCCCTTGAAAGGCTTTTGTATGGTAGGTGACGACTCCGTCACTAAGGTTGCTGCGTGTGCTGCTGCTGCAGCTCAGATGCCGTTGCACTGTATTGACTGCAGAGCAAAGATCCGAGAGGCAATTTTGAGTGGGCAGACAGAGGAAGCCATTCGCCAGATAGGCTTCATCGACCCCAACGTCCGTTAATTACACCTGAGGCTTGCCTGTTTGCCTACGCTAGTGGACCAGTTTCGTCTCATTATGCTGGAATAGCAGCCTCTCCATGTGACAATATGATTCTTTTGCAGCTGCTGAATGCTGATGCGGAGGTGACGTTTCTTTTGCACAAGCAGCAACTTTTGCGGCTCATAGAGGCGGTGAGGCTTGCTTCGTTTTTCACATGCGCGAACTCTGAACACATGCAGTTGCTTTTAGGGGTGATACGCTATGGGAGGAGAGCTCATTGGGTGCCACACCGCTCTCTGTGATTCTGTAGGGAGATGCGGAAGAAGCAATCGACTTCGCCCAACAACACCTTGCGCCTTGTGTCAAGGATTGTGTACGTCTGAGCGCGCAAGGACAGAGGCTCGAACAGCGGGAGAGACAGTGGCACAAAAGGCACGCACACGGTACATAGCCCTTTTTTTCAACAATTTGCGGATGTGTACAGCCACACTTGTTGCCGCAACTGGAGGAGGTTATGGCGCTGCTAGCTTTCGACGACCTAGACGTAAGAGCAGCAGCGTTGCTTGAGGGGCCTTCATCCAGTGTGTACCTGCTTGTGCCACATCTGCATCGACAAAACAACATTGTAAAGACAGAAGTGCAATAACACAGGGAGCGTTAGATGCTTGTTGTGAAAATGATTAGCAGAGTCCAGTGCACCTGTTGTTTCTTTGCAGTGCCCGGAAGCCCAGCGTCTAATAGGGGGGATGGAACAGCGGGAGGAGACTGCTAGACGTATCGATGAGGCAATTCTTGATCTATACAGGATCGAACAGGGCGAGTTCAAATGCATGTAGACAAGTCCCAAGTCATCTCAAGCCCTGAACTCCCAGCATTGTTGACTGTGTAGAAGCTTGGTTTTTCTGGAGGCGAAGCGTTTGAGCTTATTCCTCAGGAGCTTCTCCGGGTTTGTCAGATGGGTGAGGTTATTTTGTGCGGACATGGTTTCTCAGAATCAGCATTGGAGCTGTTAGTAAAAAACGTCCTTTTTAGTCAGGGATGCCTGCAAAACACAGTAAGGAGTAGTACTCGTTTCAGTCTGTTCACACACATTTCTGGTATGACCCATGCTGACAGTGTGTAACACTTGCGTCCCGTTGCTGTTTAGAGCCTGTATCCTTTGGTGCTGCAGTGCTTGCTGCACACGGATTGGCAGAACCGAACAGCATTAGCAGCGTGCGTTCGTGCCTCGGTGATGTTGCACCCCCGTGGGCTGGATGCATTTTGCCTCGTTGTATAAACCGCAAAGATCCTTACTGATTCGCGATATGAGGAACGACGGGTGCAGCAAATCCGTTTTGGTCTATATGCAGCAACGATCTCTGTGCCCAGTCATTGTTGACATCCGTAGAGGCACTCTGGGGAGGAGCCTCGTCCCTGCTCCAGGTCGAGGGCCCCGAGGAGAAGAAGGGACTGACACAGGTGGGGCCCAATCTGGCGGGGAAGCTGGGGCCCTACATGCTGATCCTGCCGACCCTCAACAACAGCAAGAAATGCAGCCGGATGTGCCCAGCCATCGACAGAGCCAGACGACGTCAGGCAGCCAAGCTGCCGCAAGTGCTCCTCGCAGAAATCAAGAAAGAGACCCGTCGCGGGATTTTGGCAGGAGGAGGCGAACGGGGGGCGCTCCCCCATAAAGCAGCGTTGCTAGGGGAGCCTTCTCAGTCACAATAAAACAGCCATAGTGGGCGACGCCAGTAGCTCCTCACAAGACAGGCCTAGTGGGTTTCCACTTGCCGTAGTATGCACGAAGTTCTCCTTTTGCACCGAGCGGTTTGTGGGATAGTGAGGCAGCTGACATGAAATGAGCACAGCTTGTGGCCTTAACGCCTGCGCAGAGTTGGGTAGGGATGTTGACACTACGACTGGCTTACTGGCTCACTTAATTTGTTCAAAGTTTTGTAATATAACTGTGTAGACTATATATAAGTTCCAGCCAGTCCTGGAGGAGGGTCCACGGTCTGTGCGGAGGGAAGGGACATTGTAAGGAACAGTGGACTGACGTTGGAGTTTTGCATAGTACACGTCTAAGGGACGTTGTGGACTGACGTTGTGGATAGCCTCTTATCGCTTTTCCATTGTGTCACTGAATCATTGACTCTAACAGTTGACAGAGGGACTGGTCCTAGTTTACTTACAGCCGAACCCAGTCATCCGAAGTGGTTAAGCCATATTTCGTAGTTAGTGTAGCACTGGTGAGTGGCCTCACGAAACTCAGGTATTGACTGACACTAGCACTTAAAGCTCTTTCGCAGTTTTTGGAAGTATATAGGGGAAAATTGTTGCCATAGAGAAATGACGGTGGGAGAGATCACTGCAGGTAGCGTCGGGTGTCGGGTGTTCCGTGCATTGATCGGGTGTTGCGGCGGAAGGGCTGCACCACATGCCGTTTCAGGCCCCACCCCTATGATTTAAGAACGTCTTAACAATTTCAACTCAATAATTGTAGGTAACAGTCCTTTTTGCTATTTTGTCTTTCAATGGGCTTCAAGCGGAAGGGTCACCACCAGTAGCACGAATGAACTGAACTGTAGCTTCCTAGAGTTTTCTCGACTTACCGCCAAACAATGGAGAGTGCAGTGACTCAAGTCGGGTGGGATGATTCATCCTACATTTGGGAGATTCGTGACTTCCTCGACCTCCGTGAAATGGCCAGGGAAGACCGTCCGTCTATTTCATCGCCACTCACAATCCGCATCTCCTGACCCCACCCCACGCCCCGATCGAGCAATGTTTTCAGGCCGCCGCCAGACGAGCTTAATCATATTAATGGAACACGTAGAATTCGTTAGAGAGGTGTATCATGGGCGGCTCTGGAGAGAGCTCGAAATGCGGAATGCGGCGCATTGCCTCTTCCCTAGACTGTGTTTGCCATTGTTCTCAGCTTCATGTTCTGCAAGTCGATTGGAGAGTCCTGTTTTCAAGTGTTTTTCTCTCTGGCTCTTCCCTAATGGCCAGGAACAGCACGACTCCGTTGGTTTGATAGACCTCGCTATTATGTTTAAGGGGAAACGGGGTTCCGTTCGAGCTAAGTGGACTGCCTGCTTCCTCGATGAGAAGGGAGAACCGAGTCTGCATCTGCCCTACTGTTACCCCTTAGCGCCAATGCAGTGATCAAAGGGATCTTCTGCTGGCACTAAATCTGTACCAAATTGCCTGCTATGCTAAGTTGTGTCTTACGGCCGCTTGTTATTCTCAAGAAAAAAAGGGTCGCTTCCTATTGGGTGTATATGCGTATTGTGAACGTAGGCGTAGGAACTTTTGAGCGGGCTTTTGCGTTTTTCCTACGCTGTACCTTCTGTGCATTTCAGTACCCCGTACCCGGCTGTCAGATCCTTTGAAGAAATACTCCCCTGCGGGCGACGGCCGCCGATTCTCATATGCGCCATCGCCAGAGACTCTTGATTCTTGGCTTTCAAATGGAGCTTTGCGAATCCACTGCCAAGCGTTTATTGCTCTTGATTGCAAGTCTACGCCAGTTCAACGACGTCGTAAGCTGCACGAGGCTGCCTAAGGTTCCATACGGTGTGATCAAGCCTTTATACCTTGCCGCCCATGCATCATATCTATGCGGAATGATATGGCATCGCAGAATATTGTGATTCTACGATTACCTCTCCGGAGAACGAATCACATATGAACTGCATGGTTTGTTGAGCTACTGGCTTTCCACGTGTATTGCATGCTGTGCCGTACTTCCACCAGCCTCCCTACGCATGTGCCGCAGCAGCAGCTTCCCGAGCTCCTCCTCAGCGGCTAAAGGTAGATGTAGTTCAGTACGCTCTTCAGCCAGAGTCCCACGATGTCCGAGTCTGGTGCTGCAATTCAGTGACAAGCTGTTGCCGTTTCCTGCTTGCGGCTCGCTCCACGGTGGGTTATTTCAGCAACGTGCCATTTCATTGACGCCGTTACATCCTGTTCCGACAATTATCTATACAATCTACGCCATGCAAGCGGGCTAAAAATTGGTCGACGGAACATCTTGATGACTTCAGTAGATGAGCAGTTTAGTCCCCTGCCAAGCCTCACCTGCACCTGCTGTCCAGAAATTCGCGTACTCTCTCGAGGACAAGCATGATTTTCCTCTGACTCCAACTGCAGGTACTGCGGAAAATGCTGAATGGGCCTTTCCGAGAAGCCGAAGCGGCAGACGTACACTTAACGGATATTTGTCCCCATGCAGCGCAACAAATGCTACTATTCATCCACACGGACACGTGCGACGTGCTCAAAGAGCTTAAAAGCACATGCACTCTTGATGAGAAGAGGCAACGTAGAGAAGCTCTTATGGGCCTCATCACGGCAGCAGACAAATATGACGTACATGTAGGGTAACTCGCAAAGCCTCCCGTTCATTCTGGCCCCGTGCACAAACGCCTGCACCTTCGCTTAAATTCAGGTTCTCTGCTTAGCACTAGCCTCATATCGGTACCCCACAGCTTGAGCAGAGCATGCGCTACATGAAACAATACTCTCTTGTATGACTGCGATTTCTGTGCCTTCACATACGTAATTAATGCATAAGCTCAGAGGAACAACAGGTGGTTTTTCTGTGGTGGTGGGTGTATGTAAGGGGCTTAAAGAAGAGTGTGAGCATCAGCTAACAGCCTTGGTGGACGAAGATTCTGTGCTTGACGTGCTGCTGTTCGCGGAGTCAAGGAATTTTACTCGACTTTTGGACGCAGGTGACAACTGAACCTCGCAGCTCTGACGCACTTCCGGGGACAGCAGCAACTCATTTGAGCTTAGCTCTGAAAGGCGCAGCGGTGGCGAGACCGCGATTAGTCTGCTTTGTTTCCTGTTAGGACACTTTATGAACAGACTGAGCAGGAGGCATGCCATACTCGAAGTTGTGGAATGCAAAGTAGGTAGGCGTTTTCCTTTTGGGGACAATCTAAGCCTTGCGTTCTCCCTGCGCGCTTGCACAGGCCAGAAGCTGCTGCAAGGAATGCCAGCACTTCGGCTATGGACTAATTGGCGAAACAGACAAACAGGCCTTCCAAATCAGTTGGCACCTTGTGAAACGCGAGAGTGCACGGGAGAAAGTTGCAGTAACTGGGGCGGCGCTGATGGGCATGAAATGCTGTCTGTTTGCGCCGCGGCCGAAGTTTCGTAGTTCACGAATGTCCACGCTGTGGAAAGGAGTTTGCTTCCAATCCCAATATACAGTGGCTGCCCCAATATGGACGAAAGTACACAGCTGGCCTAGCTCTAGCTGAGTTTTTTAGGGGCATTTTGCTGTTTACTGATATACGCCTCGCAAGGGAACGTATATAGGCTCTTCGGCGGTGAACGCCTTGAATGTGTGCACGTCAACGAAAATAAGGTAGACGGACAAGAGAGCCATCATGACGCAGCAAATGAGCCAGAATCCTCGGAGCCCTGGAAACAAGAAAGAAACCGCATGTTATCATAGTTGGCGAATTTTGGTGGGGGGATGTCAGGTGGGGCACCGTAAGCGGCGTATATGGGTAGCCCAATCAGCTGAGACAGGCTGGCATCTAAAAAGAACAAGCAGGCGTTAAGGCCGAGAACAGAGCCGAGCTCCTGACGCTGGACGAGCTTCGTCATTTGAGATGTGCAGCAGATGTACCTGAGGAAAGTAGAAAGTGAACAGTGAAATGCCACAAGCCTTCCCAGAGCCCTGAGTGCTGCATATGGAGTCTTTCAGGGTGGATGTCAGTGCATAGACTACTACGCGCAGCTGCGGCAACGACGTCTGCAGAAAAAACAGCAACCCGGTCCACCGTCCTAAGCCAACCGTACAGCAGTGCGCCTCCGCAGACTTCGTCACACGATAGAGCTAGTGTTGTGCAGATGCGCGCGCATATTCCTTACGTGGTCCCAGGAGAAGGAGAAGGGTCTCATTAAACGTCAAATTTGGGAAGCAAAGAAGACTAGGGGAAAGGGACATTAGTAACAAGCTGAGCTGGAGGTGTGCATAGCATTACTTGGGCTGACCCAGCGAAACCACACAGAGCAATGGGGCAAGAATACTTTATGCATGCTTGGTCGCCTGGTAGGTGTGCATTGGAGTTCCAGTGATGATGATTCAATTCCACCTACCGTAGCGTGTGGCCAACAAAGGTGCAAGGAGACCTGTACATGTTTGTCTTTCTTGAGTGTATTTCGTCCGTACGGCTGGCAGATGGTACCTTCGGCAGCTGTATGACGTGGAGCGGAGTCTCGCTAGCTAGTTGTTTGAGGAAGCTTCGCCTCTCACCAATCATGACGGCTCCAATGAGAGTAACCAGGAGATTGCTTTGAGAGGGCTGGATGACCAAGTTAGAGGGTCCTCTGACACTCCGTTTGCGCGGTCAAATCTTACTGTGAGCCCTTAAGTGTGCACCAGCTCTTAACGGAGTTTTTCTTCTGCTTATACTGCTGTGTTTGACTGACTGTATATATTTACGACGATCGGCGTAAACGCATAACGCGCCATCAATATCCTGAAGGTCCACCCATCAACCTTTGTAAACCCAAATGTAGAAGCCAAGTGCGCTCACGGGAAGAGGCCCACAAACATAACTACGCAATTCGAAGCACATCTGTAGGCGATTGAGCCAAAACGATGGAATTCCACTTTCACAGAAAGAACACCTGCGCGACACATGCAGTTGCTGAAGTTGAACACGTCCACCAAACGAGGTTCAAATGAGCATACTCAAGTCCGGCAGCGAATGAGGTGCGTTGAACAGCTCGTTGAATTCCTCTGAAGCAGGGCGTGTATGAATTAAAGGAAGCCGACCCTGGCGAGCAACAGCATGGGACGTACCAAGCCCAAACGCCACGAAACAGCCAACAAGCTGGACTGCAGACGCAACAATGAGGGTTCCTCTAGGACCGATGGAGTTCGCCAGAGAAGCGCCAATGGCTCCCCCTGCCACAAGGCCGACACAATATGAAAGGTTTAAGTATGCCAAGTGTGCCGTGCGGCTCGTCTCTCCAACTTCCAGTGAAACGACCATCATTGCTGCTTGTGTTCCGTGAATCATTAACCCTGGAAGCTGGCTAAGGAAAAGCGCTGGAATGCTTGATGCGACGGCCATCTGTGGTGTGTCGTTCTTGATACAGACGAAGTACACAAAGGTAGCTTTCCCCTCCCCTCACCATGATATACATAACGCAACACGACGACATTGCAATGACAAAGCTGAAGAGGAATTCATGATGGGTAATGAGGAGAAACGCGTTCAAGGGGCACGCCCTCGGGCACAGGCTCACGAGCTTCGCGGCCCAAAAGCATCCCCGATCCTTCCAAATAGGGGGGCTCCAACTAGTTGGCACATCGAGAATATACCTAAAAAGCCTTAGGGGAAAGAGGGCCAGCCCTGGGTCTTGTCATATTCACCTAACACCCAGCCGTTGGCCTACTCATGATACCACATTTGAATATCCATGTAGCTCTCCCTTATAAAGCTCTTTACCTGAACAGGCTGTTGAAGCTCCATAATAATGTAGGGAAGAAGTGCAATCTGATTAGATGAAAATTCTATTCCCGGATTACGGCCATACAGAAAGTGGGCAGACCTGCACGGTGAAACCTGTGGCATAAATAGCCAGCAACGTGTGACAAATGCCCAAGGGGCTTCGGGCGAAGTCTTTAAGAGACAAGAATGTTAATTCGACGTTCTCCTTCACAGCAATACTGGCAGATCCAAGAGCAGAAGACATGTTTCCAGCATCCAGGAAGCTCTGCATGCGAGTACGCCGTCGAGTCTTAGGCACCAATCCGTCGGGGAGATAAATACGGGAAGTGAATCTGGGGAAGGGCGCGGAAAATTCAGGAATGGTCCACCTGTCACCGGTAGAGAACTGTGAATACCCGAGGAGTCAACGTTTCCTCCTGGGGTGTAAAGGCACCTTCGGCGTGGAACAAAGGCACACTCACTCATCAGGAAAACGCCCCAGGTGATCTAACGATGAACTGATCTCTTCGTATCGTGGGTTCTTCCCCATATTTAATGGGTAATCGAGTACCCCCGGGAATTCATCGTCTACGGCATCGATGGCGTGGTGCAGCACCTCCACCGCCGTCTCGTCCGGAGCTGAGCGGCGTATTTTAGTGTCTGCATGAGTCGCACATCTGGCAACCACATAATTGTACATGGGAGTTCGAGCTTCCTGTCTGCTTACTCTCAGCTAACCCGTGTACAAGCCTGGATGTTGCGGAAAGCGGGAATCTAGTGAAGGTGCAGCAGTCACCAAGGGCATATCTGAAGTGCCTCTGCCCTGGCATGCCGCTCAAAACGCCGAGGACTGGCTTCAACAGGACAAATGCGCTTTTTCGTTTTTCGGTGCGTGCTTCGTAATGCTCCAGGTAGTCCGAGTAGGCCTAGGAAGCAGGAAATGGAACCCAACAATTCAATTATATTACTATTTTGTATTTTCAAGAATGCACCTGTCAACCATGAGCGCACCGTTAGGAGACTTCGTCTGCAGTGAGCAGTCCCAGGATTTTCTCTTGCTCCTGAAGTAGAGAGAAGCGAAACCACAAGGGTTCTCAGTTACGCTGGAACGGGCCATTGTTACAATCTCGCAAAGCTGGGGCGAAAACCAACCCTGTTAAGTGCTTGAACGAGAATAAAATGCCGATTCTACCGGCGTTCACGCGGCAAGACCCTACCGTAAATTAGCTTGTCAGTTTGGGCGAGACAACAGGGATCGTTCATGGCAGCTCTGCCAATCATTACCCCGTGCAGCCCTCGGACCTGCAGCCCATCTGCACTTTCATATCCCCCGCTAAGACAGCGCGTTACTCTTGGGTCTTCCGCTTCCCTCCATTCCCCACTCAGAAGTTTTTGTGCCAATTCCAGAGTTTTCACTCCCCCATTTAGAGAAAAGCGGAGGTCGGGGAAGGTGTCACACAGTTCAAACACCCTGCACCAATTCAACACCTGCTATGCAATCCTCTTCGGATTCGGATTTGTGAAAAATCAAGTTCAGGATCAGAAATATAAAGGACAATTTCAAGACGAAGAGACGACAAACGGTGTCCAGCTAAATGCTGTGCTTTACAGACAAACCCACCTTCCATAAAGCAGTGGAGGAATGGAGCGGTTCTTCTTCGGGTCTACCCCCTGTCATTAGCATGAAAATACAACAAAAGTGGAACACTGGAATTAGCCATAAACTTGCATACCTGCGTTTGTTGGTGAATGGTCCCGTTGCCGCCATGAGATATATCAAACAGTGCGTCTACCAGGATTGTTGGCAGCGATTCAAAGTGATGACATAGGGCTGTGTTCAAAAAACAGCATACTTGAAGCCACGCCTTTCTGGCATGTACAATGAAGTGCTTGCAGCCACCTTGTGCGACCGTCTGCAAGCAACAAGTCACAGGCTCATCCTGGATACTACCGAAAAGCTGTGATGTTGGAGAACAGAATCTCCTCAAGCAGAACCACACCTATGGCCGCTTAGTTGGATCGAACTCTGTAGCTTACATTTACGAAGTCTCGCGTGAATTCCGGAGAGTCCAAGTGGTCAATCCCAAGTCGGCACTTCACAGTTATAGGAATCTGCACCCGCCTCTTGATTTCATGTACGATATCCCTTACCTTTGCAGGAGTTCTCATCAGCGCCGCTCCGAAGCAACCTGATCAGTCACACCATTGCAACAACAACAAGACAGCCTCCAATAGAAAGCGAAGCAGCGGTCAGTTGGATTTCACGTCGATGCGTAACCGCACAATTTTGTACGTGGGTCAAAGGAGAGAAAGATGAGTCAACAAGAACCTGCTAGCGAGCTGGAATCGAAAAGCAAGTAGCTTACCCTTGGCCACAACTCGGCAGCTCGGGCACCCAACGTTGAGGTTGAGTTCGTCGTACCCCGCTCTCTGTGCCCACGTGGCTGCCTCAGCAACCGTCTGGGGATTTGAACCGCCTTGGGAAGAAAACCAAAACACAGGTATGTAGGAGCACAAAATCCAACCTTTCCTGATAGGAAGGGGTCTCTAAAGAAACCAGGTGACCAAAAAAACTGGCGACCACGAAGTATCGTACCAAGCTGGCAAACAATAGGGTGCTCGATTTCATCGAAACCTAAACGGAAAAAAACACGCAGACAGATATTTCTCCAAGTTTCCCGAGTTATAATGCGCTTTTGTCCACAAGGGGCAGGGAACAATAACAACCCTAGGGCAAGGGGCAACATAGTTGTCTGCCAGACCAAGAATTTCTTCCAGTTGATGCGTGTTGTGCAGTATGGTGGAGTCAACGACCATCTCGGTGTAGAGGGTGCTATAACGGGTAATCAGGCGCATGAAGTTCCTGTTGAGAAAAATGCCAAAGATAACCAGCGCAATTTCGTGCAGACGGTGGTCACATGTGTGGAAAAGGCAACGAACTTCTTCACAGCCAATGTGTAGCCGGAAAGAGCAATAATGAAAGGGTAGGTGCAATGATATTAGCCCAAAACAACGACAGCCAAATCATTCACGCAAACAGTCTCCGCCGCCTCACCGAAAATGCGTATTCGATACTGCAATCATCGGGGCCACTGCAAGCAAAGCCCGCGACGAGAGAGTTTTCTCCCCCATCGTAACTAATGCTTTGAAGCCTCCGATAAATTTAAATGTTGCAGACCACTGGCTTCAACTGAAATTCCGCACTTGCCCGCTCGGCCCTTACCGCCGCAATTCGACCCATCCCTCTTTTGACTAATCTCCTAGAATCTCTTCTGCTTTGCACCAAAACGAGAATTAGTACCATCCGAATATATTCTCTATTCGAAGGATGCCCTGACGAAGACAGGCTCTGCATGCGGCGATGCGTGTGGGCCTCTATGTTATCGTGAGCCCCTCACGCTCCACAGATAGGGGGACCCGAAAGAGCACCCCGCGGAGATGAATGCGTCCTATCCATGAAGTTCTGCATAGGTTTGTTCCCATACTGAATATAGAATTGAACGTTGTTTTCTACATTTGAGTTCGTTCAAAAGTAAACGGCATGCAGCAGATGGACAGTCCAGCATTTGCTGGCAGAACCGCAGCAACTCAAGACATAGCAAACTCGTACCACATAGGGAGCTGAGTATTAGCAACATACGCAGCTAGTATCCAGCTGATAAAATGTCTCCTGATCTGTTACTGTGCCCCTTGCGACTGCTGGGACGCTGTTGAGCTACCGTTGTCCTTGCGCCGAGCCTGAAGATAACCACTGTAGGGACCAGTAACCACTAAGCGTCACTGATTGGTTTCCTCTACTTTTTTCTGAGATACGCCCCTGCTTATGGTGGAGTGTGGTAAGTATATGTGAGCGTTGCATTCACACCCACTTCAATGGCAGTACATATTCACCATTGCAAATGTGGCAAATTTGAGATTGGCGGCTGCACGATAGCCACAAGCTCAGCAGAAACAAACTATGTGCATTGCCTGGTACTTGCTGCTTACTCCTCGCTTATATATGAGCGCATATGCAAGTGGAAATGGGGGCACGCGGCATGAGCTCCCTCCGCATGGTGGGCAAGGGAAAGCAACACATGTTATGAGGAGACCGACTTCCAGTGATGCGTGCGGCAGGTTATTCTGGACTACGCTGCTTTAAGGTGTCCGATTGGCTCCTGAGCAGAGTGGATATCGTACTTCGTCCACCTTCGGACTCCTCCAACTCTACCTATGAGGTAACCTCAGCATAGGTGCCGCACATCATAAACCAGGCAGTCAGAGTTTGCAGGCACCGCCTACATAAAAAGTCTTGTAGAAAAGCACACTGTTCCACTGCACCCAAACGCACCTGCGATCCAGTTTTATTTAACATCGCGATGGATTGGGGCTTCCCGTTAGTGGGGGACCCAAAGCTGTACACATATCCATCAACAGCATCCCCGCAAAGTTGTGAGGTATGGCGGGGGCCTCCGCAGTGCCATCTTGTCTCATTTTGTGAATAATACTTGGGGAATCCCTTCCTGCCCCCCGATGCTGCAGCAGCTGCTGCTGCTCCATTCGGCGCAGCACACGCAGCTGCAGCGGGTCATGGTAGCTGATGCGACGGCCTCCTAGGGAGGACAAGAGGAGCTGCAGCTTGGGGTGCTGCTGGAGAAGTAGCAGCACGCAAGTGCGTACTGCGGTAGCAGCACGGGAGTGCCAGTCAGGCCTCTCGAATCGTTGCAACAAGGGACACTGTAGAAGAGCCAGTAGCTCGCCGCTGCAGCTGCAGCTCCGGAATCGCTCTTGAACATGAACCAGAGAAAAACGCTGGGCATGTAGCAGCTGCAAGGCAGATGGCCATAAGCAGTTTGGCGACGGAAACGCAACTGGGATGTTGCCATCAAGCCTCAGTTCTCCGAATGGTTGCAGCTCCTTACGCGCTGTCACCCTAGCAAGGGCTTCAGTGGGCCCAACCCCGTCACGGGCGTCCCTGCAACAGCGGGAAAACGGAGACAGTAGGCGTAGCCGCTCTATAGAAGAGTGACCCCTGTTCAACTCTGCTGGTAGAGGTGTAGTGAACAGCTGCTGCTGGCAGCTGCCGCAGATACCCCAAACACGGAACTCTTCTTCGCTGTACAAGTCCGCGAATGCACCCGCCATATTGCTGCAGAAGGAGTTCGTGCAAAGGGCTCCCATCATGGGAGACCGCTGAAGGTGCTCCTGGAGTAGCTGACTATCAATAACTACAGGTGTGCGCTGGTGGTCCTGTTTTTGTTCCTGTTGTTCGCCCAGCGCGCGCCACCAAGCAAGTGACAGTTCGTCTAACTGCTGCAGTAGCTGTTGCTGCAGTGTGCAGCCTACCTCCGGGACGTCGCAAAGTACGTTCGCCGACTGCAGCTGCTCTCCGTTGTGGCCTCCAATGCCACTAGTACTTTGGCTGCTGCTGTCGCTGCTGTCAGTGCTTCGCCTGCTGGGGCTACTGATGGTGACCTTGCTGCCTGTGCAGTGGTCGGACCTGCTGAAGTGATCAACCTTTATCCCTGGAGTTTGGAGCAAAGCCTGAACGTCCTGTGGCTCCTTCGTGATACTTACACCCGCTTCCGCCTTTTCGGTAGGATGGAACTGGACACGAAGCAGAAGATCCCCCCACACCAGCAACTGCTGCCGTCGTGGGTTACCTCCCTGGCTACTGCGCCACCGAAGGGGGGCTCTGTACTCCCAAGGATTTGTGAAAGTGGGCAGAGGGAGTGCAGCCTCTCCCAAGAACGAACGGCAGCAGCTGCTGCTGTGGCCCATGGTAGCAGTACTTCTGTTGGAAGTGGCCCATAGCTGAGCGTACAGAGCAGCAGAGGCAGCAGCAACGGCAGCAGACGGCCAGTGCACGCCGAAGCTAAACGTTTCCCCCCACTTTCCATCCGGCGAAAAAGTTGTCTCCTTTTCCTCCCATGCGCCCGGCGCCGTGGCAACGCGCAACACTACTTGTAACTTGCTGCCAAACTGTAGAAAGTGCTGCTGTTGCTCCTGCTGCGCGGGCTCTTGAAGCTTCAGACTTGCTTCGATAACGGCAGCCTCAAGCTGGCCCTTATACACTCCAACCACATGGCTCCCTTCTGCTTCGGATGCGGCAGCAACACCTGCTGCTTGAGCGTCCATCAGAGCCAGTTCCCTCTCCGCCCAGCTGCACGCCAGCGTTTCTGTTTTTTGCGGTTGCTGCTGCTGTTGCTCGCGCTGTTGCTCTTTGCGCTCGTGTGTACTGAGGTGACTTAAGAGGCCCTCAACCAGCAAACCCTTCAGCTGTTGGTCGGCTGGTATTTCGCCTACTCTATTAAATGGCAACTGAGGTCTTCTTGCACTACTGCGTCGTCTGGCTCTAACAGCCAGTCTCTGCAGCATCTGCTCCTGCTGTTGAAGCTGGCACAATAGCTTCTCTTGTTGCCGCTGCTGTTGCGATATATGCTGCTGCAGCCGCTCTTCCTGCTTAAGCTGCTTCTCCAACAGTGCCTGGAGAAGCTGCTGCTCCTTCGACCTCCTCCGTTGAATCCTGTCTGCGCTATCAGGGTCCTGCTGCTGCTCCTGCTGCCGCTGCAGTTGCTTTTGAATTTGCTGTTCCAGTTCCTCCTGGAGCTGCCCCTTGAGCTTTCGTTCCAGCCGCTGTTCGAGATCCTGCTGAAGCTCAGCCATAAGCTGCTGCTCAAGCTCCATCTGAACCACCTGATGCTTCTTCTCTCGCTTCTGGTCCTGAATATTCGTCAGCTGCTGCAGAGAAGCACGGACCTCCCCCAGCTCTTTCGCCAGAGCCTTCTGCGCTTCGACATCTTTTGCCGCGATGCGCCTAACTTCGGCTGCTAGCTGCGCTTTGTGCTGAAGCAGCTGCTGCTCCACTTGCTCTTTAACGGCCTTCATCTGCTCCTCACATTTTGTTTGCTCCCCCTGCAGCAACTGGGATGAAGACTCGGCTTCCTTCCCCTGCAGCTCGGTACTTTGTTGTGCATTAGCAGCACCACCACCAACTTCAGACATCTGAAGATTCCCAGCATCGGCAGGAGCATTAGAAGTGATTGAAGATCTAGCAAAATGCCCCAAATCGTTAGCCGCACAAACGGTTCGTTCTTCCTCTAGCTTCTGTCGCTGACAGATTAAATTTTCCTGATATTCCTGCAGAGCCGTTTGCAGTTCTTCTGCCTTTTCCCCGTGATCCATAAAACGCGCCACTGTGCGCTGTCTTTGCAGCTGTGCTACCTCTCGAGGACCCCTCGAGGCTATGCTCAGCATCCTCCTGGGTGTTGTAGCTGTTGGCGGAGGGCCTCCTTCCATACGTGGCCCTACGGATTGTCTGGGGGTTGCATGTCGAGGGGCCCTCTGTCGTAGGGCTCTGGCGACTTTCTTTGCTGCTGCAGCCTCTGCAAATGCTCCAGCAGTAATGGCAGTCGCCGAATCATTTATTCTGAGCTGCTGCTTCCCCGGATCTTGTTCCTGAGTCTGTGCTTTCTTACGAGGGAGGAATCGGTTTCTGGGTGAAAACTGCTTCTCCCACAGGTTCTCTTTCTCCTGTTGCAGCTGAGCCTGCCTCTCCCCTAGTAAGTTAGGAGGGCCGCGTGTCCCAAACCCGCCACGCTGGGCGGGCCCTGCAGCTGAGGTGTGCCCCAGAGTACCCACTTGTTTGTCTCGGCAGCTTCTGCTGCAATAGTCAGCGTAGTGGCCGTCCCACTGCAGCCAGGCGTCCGCCCCGCAGTGCTTGCAGCGGGGACGCGCTGCTCGGGGATCGAATGCCTCCCCGATTGAATCCTCCTGCAACAAGAAGTTGAATAGAGTTTCCATCTTCCGCCGGACGCGCCCCGGACACTATTCTCAACACTCCAACAAGACAGCCAACGCCGATGGACAGCTGGCGGCGTAGGCTGGCCAGAGAGAGCGAAATGCAGCATGTCTCCAGGCCATCAATCATCCGCCTGCTGCTCCACGCGTTGGTATTAATGTGGTGGTCAAGTTGCTGGTGTTGTGGTCTCCGGTGCCGCTACAGCTGCCCCTCCAGCCGCGGACACGAACAACCCGGTTGCCGCCTCCACTGGTGCTGCTGCCATCCTGAAAGGCGAGCCCCGTGTAGCAATGCACGAACGGTCCAATGAAGCTCGACGGCTCCTAGCCACCCGCCTTGATTGAGCTGCGGTAAATTCGCCTGCTTCCTTCTGTGGTTATTCAAGCTCTGTGTCTCGCCGTTACCTGTAAAAAGAACAATTGTTGAGAAACATCATGTAATATAACACTGCTGTTGGTACTGATGGTGAGTAGACCCGCTGCCCTATGGTGTCGAGAGTCTGTTACGACTCAACACATGACCCTTCTGCAACGTTCAAACAGTAATTCGGGGGAAATAGTCTTCAAATTTAGCTGCAAAGTTTTAATTGTATATCACTGGCGTCTTATGCTGCAGTTATGGCTGATTCAAGTGCTAACTGCTGTTGCTAATCCCTCTGCCTCCTCTGCTCGCCAGGGGCCCCTTGGGCCCGGTGGGGCAATAGCAGTGGCAGCTGAAGCTGCTCGGTGATTCACAGGGCACTACAGTTTACTAGTCATATATCCACATATTTGCGGGACCACCACTAAATTGTGTTATTAACGCTTCAATCAGAAATGGTTTAGGCATTTGAGCGTCCCCCGCCTCCTGGTGCCGCTGTTGCCTGACTGCCCAGACAGCATAAGCGAAACCGCAGCAGCATGAACCACAAAAATTCCTACCTCTTGAAAATCAGAGCTCACAGAAGATTCAGCAGCTGGAGAGCCTAAGGGGCTCCACAGATGCATAAAGACGCTGCTCGACTCGCGTGTTTGCGCAACAGCAGTAGGGTCTCTTCGTTACAGACAGCTGCAGCCGATGCTGCACCTGGGCCCCCAGCACCACCATCACAAGCATTCCGCAGTTCGAGTGGCTCATTTCTAGGGTCAGCGGGTGTTCCACGGTCCGGCCATCGGAGGACTCTCGCTCGTTGTCTTCGTGTTGCTTCAGCAGCAGCTTATCTTGCATCTGTACTGCAGCAGCGTCAGCAGCAGGCCTGGCTGTCCACTAACGGAAGCAGTAGCAGGAGTGCCTTTATATCCAACCCTTCAGTGGTTAGAAGGGACTGCGTGAACCTTGCCTCATTAGCGTCACACGCCACAGTGTGTGCCGCTCAGTCCGTGCACCAGCAACAGCAGCAGCAGCGAGGGCACACACAGCAAAAGCAGAAGGGGCGAAAGAGGGAAACCCTCTTGGAAGGTATGATGTCGCCTGGTTGTTTGTCTGCTCAAGGGGACCTTGCCGTGGCGGATACCCCTGCAGCAGCCGAAGCCTGCGCACCTGGGGAAGAAACAGCACCAGAACCATCAACAGATGTGCCATTCGGAAAAATTGCGGCAGGAGCACCTGCAGCAATGGAAAGTGACGCATTCGTGCATCTGGACAAGACCGTCTTTAATAAATATGAAGATGTCACCTGTCTTCGAGTGCCTTTGCACCAGCTGCAAGAGCTGTCCAAGGCGTTAAGGAAGTGGGTTTGCTGCTACTACTGCTGCTCTTGTTGGCATTCCTTCTGGAAGCGCTTTTGCTCCTTAACATTCGCCATGGCACTACTAGGCATTCCACGTAAAGACCATGAAGGCGAAAGAAAATGTGTTGGCCGGTGCTAGAATCGGTGGGTGTGTACGACTTCAGGTACCTTTTCAAGCGGAGGAACGTGAGGCCCATTATATTGGACATTTTGGAGAGCTCGCAGAAGGGGGGGCCGCAACGAGAGAGCCAACGTGAGCAGCTTGAGGCTGCGCAGCAGGAGGAACAACCTGAGGAGGAGATGGAGAAGCAGAAGAAGGCTGGAAAGGTCCTCAATGTGGCTGGTAGGAGGGGTTTCAAGTGTCTCCTTTTGAATCCATCGATAGGCCCAGGTAAGAAAGGCACCTGCAAACGCGTAGAGAAGAAGAAGCTTATGGTGATGTTCTGTTTGAGCCTCTACCAGCGGCAGCCCTTATGGCTGCATGCACTGATATGGAATTGCCATTTAGTGTATTAGGTTCATATTCATTCAAGGTTGCATGACTTCCCGTTTGCCTTTATAGGACGGCATGCCTCCTGTTTACGCTATCTGCAGAGCTAGAGGGACTGCCAGAGTCCCTACAGAGTCTCTTGAAGGAGACAGACATTCAAGTCTTGCGGCATCGCGTATTTCTTGGTTATGAAAACCTATCCGTCGGTGCGCTACACCCCACTTACGCGTGTCTGCTGCAAGCGGCTACCACCACTTCATATGCAGCTGGCGCTGCTGTTGGTGGTATTGGTGCTGCTGTGGTGAGAGCTGCTGCTGCGACTGCGTTCTTGGCAGCTCGAGATGCAAATCAGTCACTTCTCCCCATCCCGAGTCTGTCTAGATAAGTTGTTTATCCATTTCCTTGTATTCGTATATGTGGGGTGCTTGGCTTTATGTACAGTGGAGTGCCTGGCGGCGTTGTTGCCTGAAGGCGTGGAAACGCCACACCGATTCGAATGTGTAGGCCACATCGCCCACCTCAACCTGCCCTCCTCTCTGTTGAAATTCAAATACGCCATCGGCCAAGTTATCTTGGATGTGCGACGCGGTTGATGTTACAGTCATAGTTTATGTCGCTGCTGCTGTTGTATTGTCGTTGTTGCTGCTGCTGCTGCTGCGATTGCTGCTCTTCCTGTTGTTGTCACAGTTGCCGCTGCCGTTTCGCCTGAGACTTTCTGCTTCAACTGCATCGTGGGAGTTTCAATTGCAGCTGCGCGAAGTGTCTTGATGGTGGCCCTAGTTGAAACTGGACAGCTCTGCCTGCTTCAGTTGCTTCTGGGCGCTCATTCGTCCATTTTGACTGGATGTTGTGGGTGCCTGCTGCCGCTGCAGAAACACCCCCAGCTGCGCACGGTGGTTCTGAAGACGGGCATTGGCTCGAAGTGGAGAGAACTGCAATTCGAACTAATCGCGGGGGAAGCAGCATACGTTGCTAAAGTTGTAAGCACCACGCCACAAGAACGGGAGCAGCAGCAGCACCACCATCACCACACCGGGCAGCAGCCACTATCGCCTGCACAACATGGCCTCCAGATAACTCTACTCTCGGGTCCTTTGATTGGGGTATCACAAATCTGGATTTCTTCGGTATCGAGGAGACTTCATTTGCTTGCGCGGCTGTTTTTTTGTGCGGCTGTTGCTGGGCGGCTGGATGCAGAAGGAAGCTGACCTTGTCTTCGAAGTTGATTATGCCAAGGCATTCTGGAACTCCAGGTGTGCGGATGCTCCTATTGCTTCTTCACCTTTTGCCCTGCAATTGTAATTAGTATTGTGTTGCTAATGCTGCGTCATCCAATCCGTAGTCGTACCGGCTCCGTGCTGCCGGTGGCTGGTACGGGCAATGCTGCTTCGTTGACAACTTTCTCTGCTGAATTCCAATAGAACAAATGAATGCCTTATTTGCCCAGGCTCTCGTGTGAACGGCAGCGCATCGCGGCAACGATCCCAAACCATGCGGTTGTGTGTAAGCATCCACTGTCGTAACCTGAAGAAACTTCTCTTCAACGACAGATTCAGGGGAAGTAGGAGCGGAGGCAGTTGGTTCAGAAAGTCAGGCAGTGGCAGCGGCACCAGCGGGTGCGGCTGCTGCTGCAGTAAATATATGTCCGTCCAACGTTATGAGGACGGCCGTTGGGCTGGAGTGCTGCGGCTGCCCGCATGCCCTCATTTTCTTCCTTGATACCTCCAGTACATAATACCTGGGACGTTCCTGAGGGTTTGGCTCCTTTGTGTTTGGTGCAGTGGATGCGTTTGCCGGCGTTGGAGCATTCGCTGTCTTCCTAGCGCGCACCGGCTGCGTCGTCGCCGCAAATGATGGCAACCCCTCATCGGCAGCTAGCATGCAAGCGAACGTCAAGAGAAATGGAGTGAGGATGGCCTGCTCTTCCGGTGTTCATTAATGCTTCTGTGTGCCTTCTAGGTGGCTACTGCTGGCGTTGGGAAAACCAAGCCTCTACTTGACAATCTTCTGCGTCTTTACAGTTAGCCAACTACAACAACACCCTTCAAAAGCGGTTTCCATTGTGCATTTCTTTCGCCTGCTGCAGGTAGCGAATTTGGTGGATGTACACAATCAAGACGCTCGGGACTTCCTTCGGTCGCAGGCACAGCCAGCCGCAATTGCTGCTCTCCAGCGGAAGCGCTTGCAAGCAGGCGGAACCCCGTCCAATGCGAAAGATGCAATTGCTAGGAAGGTCGAATACCGAAGCGCGGTGGAGGTGCATGTGCTGATGAACCTTCCAGAGTTAGCGATTGAATTCCTGGGTCAGACTCTTGCATCCTTGTTGTGGCTCTTCTAGAGGTCCTACTGCAGTGCCACCGGTATCCTGATGCCGATACCCGGAGACTAAGCTGCTCTCTTCGGCAATGCGAAATCTGCGTTTTCCTGCTACATATGCTGCTTTTCATTCAGACGTGTTCCCAGGGTTACTAGCTGAATCAGAGCCCCAGCCGAAGAGGCACTGCCCCGATGGAGAGGCGTTGAGCAGCAAGGCAGCGGGAGAAGTTACTCCCCAGGTTTCGAGATGGCGCGTGCACTGTTACGCCTTCTGTAGGGACCCTAGGCCGGAGCAAGAACTCAAGGTAGGACCCACCGTCGGCAGGGGGTTCTAGGATTTGCTCAGCGTGCAGTATCTGAGATGGACCCGTACTTTCCCCCACTTACAGGTAATAGAGTGCTCAATACGCACGGAGCGGAGTACTTAGACAACAGTTCATAATCGCTTTCTTTATGCGGTACGCAATGCGGCTTGCATCTTGGAATGATTCGCTTCAGCCACGTGTCCGATCTGCCCTAGGGTGTTGGCCGGAACCCATAGAGATCCACGAGGTTGGTTCAGTCGCAACCCTCTCTCTGCGTTGCTTGCTTGCCGCCGCATAACGTAGATATCCGACCTGCAAATGTCGGCGGAAAGCCGCAGAGTCTTCTGCCGTTCATGCGTCTCCAGCAATGACTCACCACTGCCTTATGAACTTCAGGTACGAGACGTGGCACCCAACAAGCAGATGTACTGTCTGGCCTTCGATTTACCCCCTGACGTCCTGTATGGCGAACGCGGGAGCACTACAAGACGGGCAGGCGCGGAGCCTGCACCTCACTGAGGTGCACCCCGGTGTATTCCAAGAGCATTTGCCGTGCCCCCTTCTGCTGGTTTCACAGAAATTCATCTCAAAAGGAACTGGGTCAGGGTCAACCCTGGCACAGCGTGTCCGATGCTTAACACTCGCAGTGTTGCTGCGTGTACACGTGGAGCCTAAAAGTAGGTATAAAGACAGCTGCAGCAAATCCCACTGGCTTGTACCAGCAGCCCTAAGTGTAGCGCAGTTACAACGACGCATGCTGGGGCTGCCATGGCACAGCCCAAACAGTACATGCGACCTTAGCTCGGAACAGGGCAAACGTCCCTCCGTCCAAAAGACGCAACGAGCTTTTGGGGACATTATTTGGTAGCACTGCGACTGCTGCGTAGCTGCGGAGAACCGAGAAAACTAATAATGACTCTACTTGTGGTGAGGCTATCGGACGGAAACAACTTTAGCTTTGCTTCCTGCTAGGTAGGGGCACGGCAAGGTGGAAGAGAGACAAAACGGGAGCCGCGCTGGAGAGTAAATTGGAAGTGGCAGGGCAAAGCCCGCACAGAGATACATATTTGAGCAGACCGCCCCACAGGAATGGCACTAGTGGAGAAGATCGTTCTCGGAGCGCACGCGGCACCGAGGAGACACCCACCGGACGCATGCTGGCCCCTACGGAGGGCGGCCTGTACACGGTTGCAAACGCCGCACCGGCGCATAACCCGTCCCTACTGTCCCGTTTCACGGATTGCCTGGGCTGTGTGCTCGTTACAGGAGAGCTGTTATTCGGGTGCTGTGGACTGAATAGATAGCTGTGGCGTTCCCTCGTGGACTAAACAGATAGCTGTGGCGTTGCCTCTTGCGCTTACATCCGTTCTGCTGAGTGCAAACAACGCCAAGCACGCACGATGATTGCTGGGGCTTAACATTTCTCGGCCGCTCCATCAGTCTTCGGTCAAGGCTGTAGTTAAGTAGCCCAAATGCAAGGCACAACAATTTCAATGATGCTCTGTGCTTCCTTGTGCAGCGGCTGGCAGTCCGCGCAAGCCTTCAGTACTGCGAGCCCGTCAGCTTGGAGGAGTGCATTACAGCAGCGAATCATCACAGAAACATGGGCTGGCTTGTTGCTGATGAAAGCTTCATCGATTTCGCGGAACAGCTGCTGCAACTGCTTCAGCAGCTCCCGCTGCTCCTCTAGACGCGCGGGGTCAGCCACAAGCTGCCGCTTCCCCCGCTGTCGCCCCGACTGCGGCGTTGGTCTTCCTTCTCTGCCTAAACATACAGTGTCACCCGATGGTGCATCTGCTGCTGCTATCTTTCCATGAGCTCCACCTGCTTCCCCTACCGTTGCAGGGTCCGTCGTTGATTCTTTCTCTGTGTCGCTGCTGCTGCTGCAAAAGGCTCTGCTTGCGTCAGTTATTTCGTGAAGCCTCTCAAAGAGAAGCGAGCAGCGGGCCTCCAACTGCTTTTGCTGCTGTTGTAGCTCAGGCGACAATCCTGCTGCTTCCCGCACATCCTCGATAGCTCGCGCTCTTCCTGCTGCAGAAGCAGACGCACACCAGAAAAAACACACTGCCGCCAACGGCCGTCTAAGTAGTGGACTCTTCTAGCGACCGACGTATTGCTGCTGCTCCTACCGCTGCTACAGGAGAGGTTACCGCCTTGGCAACTGCCCCTTTTGTTGCTGTTCAAGGGTAGCTCACCAACATCCTCACTGGAAGGGTGCAGGCAGACATCTTGATCGTCGCCTAATTCGTCACGTAAGGCCTTCCCGTTGGTGGCTGTTGGGTAGGTATCCTCAATCCACCAGCTGTTGCTCCACCGCTCCTTCGGAGGGTCTCCTGGCACCTCTGTTGAAGACAGCTTGGAGTGGCTGCGTGGTAACGATGGCTTCTTAGGAGTCCCACCTACACTCGGCGTATGCATCCCACTGACAGAACTGTTCTGTATCCCTCGCTGCTCTTCCCCCTGAAAGCTGCATTGCATTTGGTTCTGCAGGGACTGAACGTACACCTTACAAGCAGCAAGCGCCACGATGAACACCACCGCAAGGCAAATGCTCACAGCCAGCAAGACAAACAACTTGCGCTGCTGTTCCCACTGCTGCTGCTCGTGTTTCTCCAATCTCTCTTCCAGCTTCCCTTCTAATAAAGCTACGTATGCCTCGATCTCTCTCAGCGTCCGGGGGTAATCGTCGCTGCGGACGTTGGCGGAGCAGTTGCTGCTCCCATCGCCAGCTGCACTGCATGCCGCAGCTGCTGAATTTGGCAGTGCAGCCAACAGCTGGCTCTCCAGAGTGGCTGCGGCGGGGAGGACTATAAGGAGGAAAGACATCACAAAAGTCAACATCTTGCCCACCAGATATTTTGGGCGCACTCCTCCGGAGGCGGCCGCGCTCCACTGCTGTTCTTGTTATGGCAGCAGCAGTGTAGTAGCATGTGCAGCTCTGTAGTTGCCCCTCAGTTTGACGGCTAAGCAGAAAAGGGAAATGCCGAATTCGTTGAGACGTTCCCAACGCCACCAGCCCCTGCCTAGCAACCCCTGCCAAGCACGGGAGCTGAAGGGCTATTCAGGACATTTGGTGCAAAGTGTGGGGAACTACGGAACTAGAAAGACATATAAAATTAGTGTTTCATTCAGAAAATAAGGTTGGAAGCAGTTAACACTTGAATACGCCTAAGGTCCACCGGGGGCTGGCGTGTTTTCTGCATCTATGTCCGCTGTGTAGTGCACGGGCACTACAATTGGCCCTCCGCTGATTCTATGGCGAGTGAATTCGTCATAAAGCACAATATACAGAATCTTTAGTATTTAGTGGAGAGTCTTTAGACGGCAATTGCGGTCGAATGGCAACCCTTGCCTACACCTCTGAGGCCATGGGGCTGGTTAACCCGTGCCACTTGCCTCCTAGAGGATGAGGCGCGCAGCACATTTTCTCAGAAAGAGGGGAGACTTTTCAGAAGCCGGCCCTTGGAACCCATAATAATGGGAGAATAGTATTTTATGGTTTCTATGGTTATATTTGTAGCGACTAGAATTATAAGCTTTGTGCACCTAACTTGGGCAGGTTAGGGATTCACGTAGCGTCAGCTGGATGACTGGGCTGTTCACTACACGCCACCATAGCGGTCCATTCCCGGTACGAGTTTTTCTCCGCTCTAATAGCTCTTTAGTAGGAGAATAGACAATCAGAATTTATGTATCTAGTTGCCTGATTCTTACACTATCCCCTAGTGGAGAGTAGGATCAATAGTTCTGTCGAGGGCTGTCAGGTTCCACAGTGTAGCAGGGGGTTTCTCACCATATAATGAGAGTCCTCCGCAAAACAGCAAGCAAGCAAGCAAGCTGTTGGGAGTATTTCCTAGTTCCTTTCAACGAAATTCCGTCGCTACATTCTCCCCCGGTTTTAGGCCCGTAGCATGGTATGTCGGAAGTTGGTATTCCTGAACCAATCGCCCCGCCGATAATATACATGTCCCAAGTTACACAAAAGCCCTTGCTCGCCTTGTTGGCAAGTGACACAGTCTTCAACAGCTCTCCAGAGTGTTGACATAAGCGAACCTTTCCGCCTTGCAGCCCGGTATAGGTGTGTGTGTCTGGCTTGCATCATTAGTAATAGCACGGCGAATCGAACCTTGTCTCGAAGCTCTTCTCTCCCACACCTACAGGCACTTAGGCATCTAACCTCTGGACGGCTGGGTTCTGGAAAGAGAGTTCACGTGCACCCACGGAAATACTAAGTATTGTGATTCAATTGTATCTCAGAGCAGTCACTTGATAGGATTAAGGACTCGCATTAGACGTTAATACACCGCATTGTACACCAAAATGCATAAGCATTCGTGAATGTATCCGAGAAAATCTTCTGAAATTATCAAAAATGTCATCTATTCACTTTTCTTGAGCAGGGGTGCTAGATGGTTCGATGCCCTCTACTGTTGATCCAACCACACGTCGGAAGCCTTGTTCGGTTAAAGCAAGTGCATTGGCTGTACCGCGCACAACAATAAGTGTTTTGACAGCAAAGAGAGCCATGGGAGTGGCTGGGACGTTTTGTATGGGGAGTTTTTTGCCTCCGGTTAGCCTCATGTTCGCGTTCGAGAAGAACCAAAAGGCCCACAGTTGCTACTGGCATTTTCTGCATTAGGACAGGCACGACAATAGTGAATTTACCTAACCAAAGGCATAACTTTTAAAGAGACAATCGGGACTAAAGTTTTTCGGCGTCCACTGCGGTTCACGTTTACTCTCAGGTCTGGAAGGCAACAATGCAATAGAATGTGCAAAGTTGGAAATCTGTCTGAAGTGGTCTCATTAATACTTATCAGAACCGACTAGGCAAACGGTGTGCAGAAAACGTTTTCAACAGTTGTATACTGTGCTCACATGCACAGTCACTAAGACTTGTTCGTGCTGGCTTGCCTTTCTGTCCTGCATGCAGAGCAGCGGCAAAGTGCTTGGCAACCCATTGCAGTCATCACCTCTCCCGCATCTCCAGCCACTTGAACCGCTGAATTCAAAGCGCCTGGGGACTGGGGAGAGAGTGCCACTCGTATTTATGTGACTCTCATCTTCACTGGTAGGACACAAATGCAGCTCATACTTTGCCTCAGAATGGTCCTGAGCCCTTCGTTACACTTCCGAGCAATGTGTGAATCGCCGGGTGCACGTAGGAACAACGAACCTGCCGCCCTCAGCATGGCGGCGTCCTGCATAGCGTAGAGTAGTACCGAATATGTTAAAAGTACAAGCCTATTTAAGAAATCCTTTTCGATCTCTCCCAGCATCGCTGCCCAATCTCAGCCTTTTACTCTTTTTGCGCAATAAAGGTCGGTCAGGATCCGTAGTATGCAAACAGTACAATGGATCTCCTACTAAGGCTCAAGCGGCCTAGCCTTTGACGTAAACAATACAATGTGTTATTAGTTCTTCACCTTCTATCCAATGGTTCCTAAGTCCAATCGGTTACGTTTGCTCACAAGCAAATCAGGGTTTGGCACAGGCTACTTAGCAAGGGTTCTGACACTGGGCTGGGCTAGACCCGGAGCTATTGGCGTTTTCACTTCTAGGAAGGGAGCCAGGGCAAGTGTGGTTGTATGCAAGCAGGCACATTGGTTTCTCAGAGCACATTTGGAGTATCGCTGGCACACGCCACTTTATAGGTATATTCCTAGGACGGCACGAGAGCAGGCGGCTGAAGAGTTGAGGAGGCCAGATAAAGGAACTATACCGAAAAAGATTAGTTTAAGACGTTTTACTCGTCGATGAGTAGGAGCCCAACAACGGATTCGGAACTACTGTATCAATGGCTTATCGTGGGGATGTCGCCGAGGGAAGGCAATCGGTACCTAGCTGAGCAACAGAGTGGAAGCTAAGGTGTGAAAGGGATGATCTCGCGAGGACTATGGAATACTCACGTATCAACCTGAAGACCTCATAAAAGGAAAAACGCCACATCTACCGCCGTCCAAGAGTAAGAATGTGGGATGAAACTCCAAGGATACTGAACGTGTGGATGTTGGATATGTGAACCATCCCACACGCAGCCGGGGACTTTGGGACTCAGGATGCCGGGAGGAGATGTCGACTGACTCAATTACTTCTTTTATAGCAAGCAAGGCAGCACAGTGCGAGACGAAGTACCTACGACAAAAGGGAGGGAGTAAGGGAGACTTTGAGAAGCGCTTCAACGCTAATACGCAACGCGACTGGAGAACCGCCATGACCCCGTCTCAATGGACGGCGCGTTGAAGGGGCCGAGAGGGCAGATAGATGCACCTACAGACCTTCCTCAGAGCGTTTTATCGTAGCTCGTATTAAAGGGCAGCAGTTACTACCTTGAATTGGGATAGGTTGCGCAGTGGGCATGATATGTGACGCTTCGGAGAGAAGATACAGTTCTCCGCTTCATTCGCACTCGCTGCGACTACCCTTCGTAAGGGGTAGACAGGACACAAGCATCGCCAAGAATATGGACATGAAATGCGGCACTATTTCAGAAACGGTTCATATTACCATTATAAGGGACCTTTACTTTGAACCAGTCCCCCAAGACATCACCCTGGGGGTGCCCGAGGCGGCCAAGCGGAGGGCACAGATGCGAACCCCTAATGACACCGTTGAGGCTCAGGTGCCGAGCCGAGAGGATAGGTTGCACCTCGCATTAGTTCCAAGCACATTTGGCTCCCCTACGGTGAGAGGGATGGAAGCAGCGTCCACAGGACACAGGAACTAGAGGCTCCTCTGCAGTGCAGAGGCGCTGCGAGCAGCCACAAAGAAAATGTCTGCACCCTCCACTCCATCGTAGGGGTCTAGCACGTCTCTGTTTAAAATCACAGATGTGTTCGTTTTCCAATGCAAACAATTCACCACTCAGGGATTTCGTGTCCTGGCAACTGGGGTCAAACCAGGCCCAGGGACGAAGGAGGCCATCCGAAGGTGACCAAGGCCCCTGTACACTTACATGGAGGTTTGAAAGTTACACGTTTTCTCTATTTGTACTACCCCAGCTTCGTCTGTGACTCTCCTCCCATCGTTGTCGCTCTAATAGATCTACTTGAAAGGGAAAACAATTTATATGGAGAAAATTAAGGCGCGGTCCCCCGAAGCCTCGTGTGGGATCTGGCGTGGTCCCCTGTACTCGCGCTACGTGTTTCTAAAAAGGAATGCCAATGACACAGCGGTTTTTGGAAAAATGAACTTTCAGAAAGGTAAGAGAGCGTAGCACTACCAAAACATCGCCTGCTAGTCACACAGTTTCAGAAGGAGAGCATAAGTAACTAATACACGAGAAAAAGCCCTACGCTGTCCATTTTGAGCTATAGCGAAACAAAAATACTTGATGAGCGTCTCTTCAAAGCAACTGACATTCATCTCCAGTCCACAGGCGTCATGGGCGCAGCGGCTCGATCGCGTGGAGCACCAGGTGGCGAGGCGGCCTTCAACGCAGCGTGCTGCAAACAAGCTGCAAGGCAGCCCCACACATACGAGCAGGCGATCCTTCGTCATTGTATGTAATGACACAACAAAGCTTTATTGAGGGCTTCTGCTTGCATGTTTGCCAACTGGGGGCCCATGCGCCAACTGACGAAGGACTTGCCAACATTTGACACCGCATGCTACACCGCCTTCCCACATCTCCATGCGCTGGTTTTGCCACGACCAGAACTCCCGAAGACTTGTAAGAAAGGTCTGCTGCGTCTCAAAGAAAATCTCTTTTTACGCGTCTGCCTCTATTCCAGCGATGCATAGTCGTTGGATATGCACGAGAACCCTGGTTACAACCTTCCAGAAACTGCACACGCACACCTCTACGAATGTCTGCGGTAAAGCAAAAAGATTCAAAAAATTCCGCTTTCCAACGTCCTCTTTTCAATAGAACACTCCCATAGCTAAGAAACTGTGCAGCACTTGCTGGCTCCGGTTCTTGAGATGTGCATGCCGCTTGCTATTGCAGAGACATTGAATAATAACCCACCCTGTCAAATAGAGTAAATACTCTGTTCATTTCAAGACATTAATTACGAGAAGTTACACGGAGTGCTCTGCTTTGCGATCACGTGTGGGGCTTGCTATTGAAGCAGCATAAGCGTCTGCACGAAAGCCGAACGCGGCGAGCGAGTCGTGCGGAAACCGTTCTGCACTGCATTGCTCACACAGTCAGAGAGAAAGTCGTTGCAAAGTACCCAGCTTGAACCCAGTGATTGGTGAGCTTTTAGATGCTGCAACTTTGTGATTGTTAATAGATACGTGTTTTGCACGGACCAACGTTCGTCAGCCCCCTGCCCCTCTCCCATGTTCGGTCCTTTTCGGTACAACATCGGGTCTCCTACTTTCTTTGTGGCAATTTACTTTCGCTGAGTATTCACTCATTCTCTCATCAATCAGCCCCCTCACAACTTTGATTCGATGCATTCCCACGAACGTTTTCCAGGATGAACAACGACTGTGGCGGCTACGGGAGCACGGTTGCAACGTTTCGCAGTGTTTTTTCGAAGGTTCTGGGCGAGAACAGGTGAAGAAGGTCGTTAAAATTGGCCCCATTGTATATCCTGTTACTTATCTGCAGGATTATCTCAATGGGTTATGCCATGGGGTTTTCAGAACAGCAGGCGGTGGCATCTTTCCCAGATGCGCTAGTGCCGCAGGCTGATAAGGCCGTCGGGGTCTCTTTCGCCACATATTCCTCCTCACAATATCCCCATAGGGCACAACTTCTTCGCTGCAGCCCACGTGGTCATTCTATTGGTCGTGTTTTCCTCTCTGCCGTTGCATGTATTGCAGCGGTCGTGCTGTTAATATCCATCTGCAGCAAAACTCAGCTGAGAGGCCATTCCTTTGACTCCCGCTCCCGCCGACTGTCTTCAAATGACCGGACCAAGCGTGGGTTTGAGAAAATGTGTGAGGGTAACGCTGAAGATGAAGCAGCGTGGCTGCAGTCTGATGATGATGAGGATGCAGGAGAAAAAGGACCTTTGCACAAGAAGCCTCGAGTCTCCACAGAGGTCTCGGAGAACACTCTATCCGAGCAAATTCTTGAGGGTTCTAGTGGAACAGGCGGAGGTGTAGCTGCCACGTCAGAACACCGTGCGCAGGTAGCGCCCAGCAAGCCCTTGCAACATTTGCCTCACTCAAAAAGGCCCGCCTCGATTGCAGCAATGAAATGGACCTCAGATGAGCTAGAGGCCACTGCTGCACTGTTTCAGTTGCGAGTAGGGCATGAATATGCAGTCCGTGTGGGTCCAGTAGAGGGGATTCCGGGCACAACACTGTATATAGAACCGAAGGGGCCACCGCAAGTAACGAGTGTCCAGGAAGGAAAACAATCCAAAAGAAGAATGGTGAAGCTTGCTACTTTCTTAAAGACGTCTAGATCTGCAGGAGGAGCTGCATCTAGACCTGCAGGAGGGCTTGCATCTGCACCTGCAAGTGGAACTGCACTTGGGCCTTCAGGCGGACCTGAATCTGGACTGGCATCTGTACGTGCAGGTGGAACTGCATCTGGACCTTTAGGCGGACCCAGTTCTGAACCTGAAGGTGGATTGGCAACTGCGGCTGCAGCACGACCTATAGCTGGACCCCCTTCTGGATCCTCATCTGAGCTGAGAGCTTTACTTTCCCGGGTCCCTGAAGATCAAACTTCAGCTGTAACTGCAACTAGCAGTGCAGTTGGAACTGCAGAAGGGACTACGCGTGGACCTGCACCTGGTACTGCGCAAGGAACTACTCATGGAACAGCACCTGGTACTGCGCAAGGAACTACTCATGGAACGGCACCTGGTACTGCGCAAGGAACTACTCATGGAACTGCACCTGGTACTGCGCAAGGAACTACTCCTGGAACTGCACCTGGTACTGCGCAAGGAACTACTCCTGGAACTGCACCTGGTACTGCGCAAGGAACTGCTCATGGAACTGCACCTGGAATCACAGGTGGAACAGCAGCTGGAACGGAAACCGGAGTTGCAGCCGCAGCTGCAACTGGTGATGGAGATAATTCGCTGCCTGGGACTTCCAGAGCGGCAGGGGATGCACCTGTCGTTGAGCATCTATACTTTCGCCTGCCAAAGGTAGAACAAACACTAGAGCAGAGACTAGGCATTCTGCACGTGAGACCCGACATTGCATCTGAGATGAATGTGGCCCCCCTGAGCCCAGTTTCATTATTGCGCAAAGCACACAATCTGCTCATAAAAGATTGTCTGACAAGGGAAGAACTGCAGGATTTGATAATGACAACAGAACTGTTGGTGCTGCACGCGATGCAGTACCAAAGGCGTTCTCTACCTCAGGACCGCCCTTCACGCGCTGTTGCAATGCTGGGGATGCGCTTCCTGATTTTCGATATTATTGTGTCGACGTTGAATATTATAGGACAGCCAGCTCGAGGGCCCTGGTGGGAACGTTTAATTGCAAGTGTTCCTCACTCCTATAGAGAGATAGTTTTACCAGAAAACGCCAGAGGTGATGCGAAATTCAACAAAATGCTTATCTCCCGCTTGGTGGCCTCCATAGCAATATTGAAAACTGGGAAGCGGCCGTTTAAAGGGGAAGTCATAGAGCTAAAAATGCTTTTGTTCTTCCATGAGTTTTCCCCGTCGCGTTTCCGAGAGGAGCAGTTCAGTTTTTGGAAACAAGATCAAGAGCCACCTGAGAAGTAGACACGCCACAAAGTGACCATTTTCGGCTTCATTTTCCTTTTGGGAGAGCAGTGGTCTGTTCATACTTATTGTGTTGTCGGCGGCAACATGCTGAACATGGGAATCCTCGGCCGGATTATCATGTTTCCGCTGAGGCCAGATTGAAGGCCCCTACTGACGCATGCTGGAATAACACCGCTGCCCCGTCGACAGACAATCTTGTTTTTGCATGGGGGTTGCTATGAACGGCTTCTGCAAATAGAGTTTTATATTTGAATACGACATCCCAAACATGAATTCACCGAGCAAGGTGCTGAAGCAGAGGATATGCTTGTATTCTACATTGTTGAAGCCTGCCAACAATCCAGAACTGCGGGCTGATTTGTGGGAATAATCGTCTGTCAATATACCTGCATAACGTTATACAGCATATTTTTGGGAAGTATGCGAATTCGGCATGCTGGACGTAGGAGGTGTGAGGGAGTCTCTATGTACTTCCTTACTTAGCTGCAGCCCAGATTGACAAGGTCTGCCTGCAACAGTGAACTAGGCTTTTATTTTGCCCTTCTTGATTAGCAGCTGTTGCGCCGTCTTCTTCGTGTAAAATCTCTCCATGGGTACTTTCGAGCTCAGCTCTCGGTGAGCCTTTTAGCTGGGGCACGACTCTTGTTACAACCAACGTGGCACGCCGAACCCCAGTCGCAACGACGAATGCATCAGCTATAACAGAAGGGTTCAGTTTGTTGACACACTCAATGCAGAAGACGTATGCACTTGGAATAATGCGCATTTGCACAGCTAGAACCTATTGACTGCGCTAGATATTCAGGATATTGCTGTGCAATTCCACTATTCTCCCGGTGAAACTGTCAGTACATTCTCGACTCACACCAGTTCTTGGCTAACCATGAGGCAAACAATGAAACGGAAGGGAACGGAGTAGACAAATTGTTGAGGTTGCTCCACCTTAAGATGAGGGGCAATCCTGGATGTGAAGGCCGATATTGTGAAATCGTGTGGGATTGAGAGCAACGACGATCGACGGTCTGTTAGAGGAAGTCGACACTGCTCCCAATCCCACATGATTTCAGAAGGGCGGTCTGCATATTCAGGGGTGCGGGATTATCTTCCTCTCTGGCAACCTCAACAATTTCTTGACTCCTTTTCCTCGTCGTATGCTTGGTTAGCCAGGAATTATTGAGTCTAGAGCCTATTTACTTCAGCTGAGTTGAGTAGTTAGCTGTGCTGTTCCACATTTTCCACAGTGGAACTGTTGTTTGCATTGAGTGAGTGCGAGCCGCCGTTTGCTATCACTAACGCACACAGTTTCGTCTGGATGGAGCTCAGTGGCCTTTGCTAGGGTCCCTGGTCCATAGACGAGGTTCACCCGAATCCGCCAAGACCCCAAAACACCCATGAACACAATTTTGTATAAGCATTTGCAGAAAAAAATGACCTAAACACCTGCCTCCCCTCACTGCGGGCACGTGGGCACGGTGTTGTAAGCGTGTAGAGCTGGCGAGGAGAGGACTCGGAGCAAGTTGTGGTGCAGCCCCCTTTCGATGCATTAACTTGCCGAACTGGAAAATTGATACACATACTTGACCCTCAGTAGCTAAGCTGCACGCAAGTATTAAGTGAACGCGCCAACTGCAAACTGATCGTGCTGTAATAATGTGGTATACTAGGAACTCTATTCACGCTCTGTTCTCCTCTGAGCGTACTACAACAGCAATATAGCAAATGAAAAGTTTCTTCTTCCTAAACGATTGCACTCCCCACAGGCTAAATCCGGCAGTGGCGATTCCAATCATCCAACAGCAACGTGGCTGTTTGAAAACATGTGGAGCGATGTATACTGGCCCGCCCGCTCTCTGATATCTGAAGGGCGAAGGCTTGCGGTAATTGTCTGCAGAATATGGAGTACAAACGAGCTCTGCAAATGCCAAAAGTTGACGAGGCGCCGTGGCAGCACTTGCCTACCCCCAGGGGCGACAAGATAATGGTTGTATGATCAGTTGCCTCACTCAAGCAGTAGTAGAATCGCAGATGGGCTCATACGATGCAAGATACATGGGGATATGGAGGTCATACGTAATTCATTGGAAGAGGTAGAGCTCGGGTATCGAAGGTCTAAACGCCAAGACAGTGACCACGCATTTGGTCAACCACTTGTGGTGAGTTGCATTGCCACAAGAGAAACTTCCTCGTGCTGATCAACCCAACTCAACGCAGAGAGCGACCATCGACATGTTCTTCGGTTGGCTGTTGGTTGAGTCTAGCAAAACGAGCTTCGTCCCTTCTCCAGTCGTCGTAAAACGGAGCTCGAAAGCGTCGCGGGGAATATTCTGAGCAGAAGAGCATCCGCTTGAGCCAGACTAGAGTAGAGTCCGATGGCCTTTTTCCTGTCTTTAATATTTGCAAAGCGTCCATAAGTTCCTGTGCAAGGAACTTGGTGTAGTGCGTTTTCACGCGTAAGTTGTAAACCGGTGCAGATATACTAGGAATATATTGGGGGACGCTACTAATAACTTTCTCCCACCATGGACCCTCCGGCGGTTGACCCAATAGTTGCAGAGTCGCAACAATTACGTCCAACGCAAGGAATTGGAGTCCTAAATGTTCTGTAAGCGGACGAATTGGAAGATCGTCTAAACTGGTCTCATCATGCGCAATACAAGAGCATAACTGTTCACTAACATGTGTTATACCTTCCAGTTCTGCGGGTGTGAGGGTGGGCCTTGCAAGGAAGTCGCGCGCTCTCTCCAACAACAGGGCTAGCTTTCTCCTAGAAAAGCCTTCACATAAAGCAGCCACTGGATTCAGTGGCCTCAGACGTTTGCTGCTGTCGACCTCGGGAAGATGGCAAAATAAGTGGCTGGAAATACTTGGATCGCCTGCACGTGGAGGAGCGATAAAACGTCCAAAAGGAGAGACCCACCGCTTATGCTTCGCAGTTAGAGCCACAGGGCTCTGCATCTGCAGAGTTTCTTGTGATTGGGTCGACGTTGACGGTTGAGCCCTGTCCTCAGCCTGTCGTTCGGACTCTACACTCTTTGGCTCCAAAGAAGGTCTACTCATTGACAACTGCAGCAGGGCTTCGGCCGCATGAAGCTCTCGCGAACGTTGTCCAGTCATCCAGCCTGGGGGGCGGCGAGGTACACGAAGAGAAGGTACCGCAGCAGCCCCGGAAGGCCCCGCGGACGCAGTAGTCACGTTTGAGGAAAGTACCGAAGGTTGTGCTGGACTGTGCGACACACTGCTCCAAGGTGGCACAGCCCTGACGGGGACGGGGAAACCAATGGGTGTCGTGTTTGGGGAGGCAAGATGCGGTTCTGCTGGAATGAAAGACACAAGGAGAAAAGGTGTCGCTCCAGTCCTGCTAGGCACGACGGGCTCAGTAGGTGTCAGGTCTACCGAGACAAGCTGCAGGTGTGCCGGACTGAACGCCGTAAGACCCCGTGGTGTCGCATCAAGCTGCAGTTGTGCCGGACTGAATGCCGTAAGATCCCACGGCGCCGCATCAGTCCTGCCAAGCACGGGAATATTTGGGGGCAGTTGGGCAAAGGCGGCCTGTGGGTGCTCTTCTGGTGATCCCACGCTCGCGGGTGGCTCCCTCCTGCTGGCGGCTGTCCCTTGGATGGAGGGTTCAGACAAAAATGCGACAACATGCGAAGCCTGGGAATTCATCTCGCCTGTTCCTACGTCCGACTCATTGCCACAAACACCTTCATGTAGACCATTGGGGCGGTCACTAGCCGAGATCTGTCGAGCGCGACTGTGAAGGGCATGGTTCTTTTTCTGAATTGCGTTGCACAAAAATATTAGCATCACAACTGCAACAACGGAGGCTAAGGAAGCCGGTAATACGTATCTACGAGAACGACTCCACAGACGACGCCCACGATGTGACGACAGCTTCGACGCTGCTGCGTTGGTGGCCGTGAGGAAAGACGCGCCTAATTGTTCCACGTAGGGCCGAATTGCCATAGCCGAGTGCGTTTGACTCTCCATTGTTCCTCATGCCTGTCGAAAATGAAAAGGGTTCTCACTACGCCAAAAACTCTGCTGCTTACGCATTTGAATACTAACGGATTCATATGAGCACTTTCGTCGCCTGAAATACCTCCTCCCTTGGAAAACAGTCCAAACCGACACAGAACTGCCAAAATCATGTCAGCGAAGGCTCGATGAAGCAGACGTTTCAACGCGGGCCGCAGGGCACCCGTCTGCAGCTCGGTCCATGCCACCGAGGGTGGTCCGCTGACTGGTCAAAACGTCCCAGTTTTCGGCTTAGTTTGGTCGTGGAACGCCGGCCCTTGACTCTTCACTTCGGAGGCAGCCAGGATTAGGTACCCCGCAGAACGATATCGGCAGGATCGAAGGTGGCAGCCACCAGAGGAGAGCGGTGATGTCAATGGTGGCCGCGTTAAAACATATCTATTTGGAATAATGGAGTCTTCAAGAGCCAGATCGCTCGGTGGGAGAGTTCCGGCGATCTGAAGAGTCGACATCACAGCCGATCTGAAATCAATTTGGACGACACTCAAGAGCTGAATCCAGTAACATCCCTGTGCCTGGAAGGTGTGATGTTGAGTCCCCAGTTCTGACCTACTGCCATCTACAGCAGGTTAATTTTCATGCTCCAAGCTGGACGGTTTGTCACTTATGGCTTCCTTCATCTAGCAAAAGCATTTGAATTGCTCACGCGTACCCCTGAGAGTGCTTTCAGCTTGCCCTTGGTGGTCCTGGCATGCAGAGCGGAATGCTGCTGCGAGCCGCCAGAAACCCCACTCACAACAGCAAAGGGTCCCTAGACATCCTGATCTGAACATGTTCAAATCCGTCCAAACTCAAGACAAACTACATTTTATCATTAGCACTTATGAGGAACGAAGTGTACTTATGTACTTATGCTGGGGCTAATGGCCCACCGACATCTGGTGCACGTGGAATCGAGAACACCTCCCCCGCCTATCATTATATGCCTTTGGTCAGTTGGGATGCGGCTTCAGCGTTTCCTAACGCTTATCACTAATTTTTTAGATTGAAATTCATTGTTAAAATATTCTCCCGAAGCCAAAGAAGTAGTAGGTGAGCCAATTTTGGGCGTTGTCGTGTGCCCCGAGTTGGTTGCCCAATGGTGACACCGGGCGCGATACCAATTTCTTGTTTCTGCTTGGTGGCGCTTGTCCTCAGCTGATGCATTTTTTTGTCGAATGTGTCATAAGGGATCTTGGAACTGGTATAGCAGTGGCGGAGGTCCCAAGTATACCCATGTTGACGT